AATAATAAATAATAATAATAATAATAATAGTGTTTTTGAAGATGATCCTGAAAATTGGTCAGTACGATCATGTGTGTGAGATGTCACACTGACTCCATAGCTCACAAGCTCGGTGTCATTCACCATGATAGCATCTCTTAATGGTTATCTGACAAGAAGGATTTGAAAATTAATATGGCCGACATCGGTTTGTTTACATTTTGCCATTTTTGCGCACACAACTCTTCAATCATTACACGTTTGTCAAATCTTCATCTTCCCAAATGGAGAATAAAATCTGTGCATCTACGGTCAGTCTTAAAGGGACACTAACCCCAGGATCTACAGCTGAGTGATACACAAATGAGAAACTTGAATTTTAAGATTTCCCTCCTGAGTTTCAGGTCACTCAAGGGTACAGAGCGGATTCATCTCCACTGAGCTGGTTTGATTTTATACAACAGAACACTGTGCAGTTGCTTCACCACGGTCACACAGAATTACAGCCTATTGACAACACAACATATCAAACCAACTTTACCTGATCTGTAACGTCATAAACAACGATGATGCCATGAGCGCCTCTGTAGTAACTGGAAGTGATGGTTCGGAACCTTTCCTGGCCGGCTGTATCCCACTGTGTTGGGAGAGATACAAGTGTTTAATACCCTCATAGTGCTGCTCAGTATGTCAGGAAACTGAAAACTACTACCACACATACAACCCAGACATTCACCGAATGGTTCATCTGTCACCAGAAACTGCCTTTACCTGTGCTCGGAAGTTCTGAAAGGGAGAAAGACTGACAACAAAGGAAACTCAATCATGGTGAATGTGCGCACAGGCACACTAAGGTCATGCGTCAGTATAAGGGACACACAGGGAAAAGGATCTCCGATGGACCATGTCTGAGATTAGACAAATACAGCTTTAATAATAAATGTTACATGGTGCCATCAAAGAATGTAATCTGAAAATAAACTGTATGGGGACTTGTACTTCTATACCAGGGGTAGGCAACCTCAGCACTCCAGCTGTTGTGGAACTACAAGTCCCATGAGGCAATGCAAGACTGACAGGCGCGACTCCCAGAGACATGATGAGATTTGTAGTTTTAGCACAGCTGGAATGCCAAGGTTGCCTTGCTTCATACAAAAGTGTGGTCTGCGCTCACACTTGTAAAGTTTGCAGTTATTGGTGCCTGGGGACCTGAAGCCCTCAACAGACTTCTGCGGCGGGAGCTGCACTGGGAGAGCCGGAGCAGGAAAAAGCTCCGCAATGTAATAATGGAAATATTTTGGTTATAGCTGGAGTGACGTTTTCTAACACATAAACCCCAAGAATCTCCTCGGTTTATATCTGCCAGGCACTGTGATTACTAAGGGTGCGTGCGTGCGGGGACAACATTGTACTATTTCTAGGATGGGGAAAGCTGTGCTCTGAATTTTCTTCTGAGATTTCACGGTCCTTCATGGTAGAAAATACATTTGACATATTTACCAATTTATTGGGAGAGATTCTTTGTTTGGAATCTACAACAACAAGCTCCTCTGTTTATATAGGATTGTATGGAGTGGGGGCCCCAGCCCTACATTCATGAGACAAGAACCCCCCTAGCCTCAGCACCTCATGCTCGTGGATGTAAGCTTTCTTTCTTATAGTTCTTGGGAATGACGAGCTCTCTGCTGTATGTCCTGGCACAGCATTCCACCTCCTGCCTTATAAAAAGGTCTATATGTAGAGGGGCTCCATCATCATCATCATCACAGAAGGTGCACACACCTCCATTCACCTTCTCCCTTCCTGCCAGAGGCAATGGCTGCTAAGTGGGTTACAGATCCAAGTGTTCCGGCATATCTGTGACCTAGAAAGCTTTCAGCTGAATACAAAACACGGCAAATCCATCCTCCGGACTACAGAACTCCCAACACTGATTATAAGGGCGCTCTACACCACGATCAGAGTATAGAAGCTGCAGAAGGGACACAATCCGGTGACGTGAAGTGCGTCCGTGCTTCATTACTGGGTGAGTCACTGACCTAGAACAAGCAATACTGATCTGCACGGTTTCCAGGTCAGCGACTCCCTAAGAAGGGAAACTATTGCAGACAAATAGCAGATCCCATATTTCTTAGCCGAACATTCTGCTGAGACAGTATCCATGGTGAAACACATGCCTGTATTTCTAGATTGAATTTCTCTAAGTTCTATCCCACTCCTAATACCCATATCAGTCTAGAAGTTTCTAAACTTGCTTAAATATGCCCATAGGATGTACTTCCTCAATGCACTGACACAATATCACTCGGCCCTGTGACTATGCACTTCCTTGTGTCACCACTCTCACAGAGCCTGCCTTCTGAACTACAACACAACCTATGAACAGCAAACCAGCCTTCAATAGAAGATCACTCATACACAGGAACTCAACCTCAGTAATGCAGACAACAGAAGACCACAAATGATATCAATCCAGTCCGTACTACAATATGACACCAATCCAGGCCGTACTACAATATGACACCAATCCGGGCCGTACTACAATACGACACCAATCCGGGCCGTACTACAATACGACCTCAATCCGGGCCGTACTACAATAGGACACCAATCCGGGCCGTACTACAATAGCACACCAATCCGGGCCGTACTACAACATGACATCAATCCGGGCCGTACTACAATATGATATCCGATTAATCGAACTTAATAATCGGCTAACTAATCGATTTTTAAAATAATCTTTAGCTGCAGCTCTAAAACAGACAACAACCTTTATATTTGTGTGTTTCTCGGGAAGTCGCCATCACATCTTGTATACATCAACTGAAGCATATACAGGCTTAAAGAGGAGCTGTCACTTCTGATTTAGATCTTCCGGCTTGGTACAAGTTATGATTCTTTATGATAATTTAAAGCAGAACTCCAGAGAAATAAATTCTTAAACCTTGCAGGGGGGTTACCTCCGCATTGTAGGGGTTAAGTGCTCATTTTGTCTAGGGACATAAAACAGTTATATTCACCCGGGTAATAAACATTTTCAGAGCCCAGTCAAGCCAAGCAAGTCCAGCCAAGGTTTAGACCCTCTGTATGCTCTGAGATATTTAGCTCAGCTTTTTGTTCGTTTGGCAGACAATGGTTTCACGGGTCAGGAAGGAAGGAGAAACTCGGATACAGAAATAGAAAGCTGACAGGGGTCATTTTTACTTCCATCTGTTGGAAGGATACCTCACTTCCTGTGTGGTAAAGCATTGTCAGCAAACAGGAAGTGAGTCAATCAGAGCTCCAGATACCAGTAAAATCCTGACAGGGGTTCTAGTCGTCCTCTGCTTTGTTTTGGCTGGACAAACACTAACCTTTATGTTGGATAACATTTTCTGACCGGCAACTCAAGAACAATCTTTTTTTTCCATGAACACAGAAGTATTCGGGCAGCACAATAAATACAATCTCATGTCTTCAGAACAAAACTTAATTACTTACTATCTGAAGTTTAATTGTTTTTCCATCTAATTCTATTGTCCTGATTTTAAAGTCCACTCCAATTGTACTGATGTAACTTTCTGTGTATGTGTCATCCTGCAGAAAGAGAGAAGAGACATTGTAAATAAGCAGATTATTCATGGAAGTTCAGTAATAGGTTAAATAACTGAGCTGTGCTGAAGTGGTACCATATCCTGGGCCCGGGAGTATGTGGGGCTCACTGGTCTCTACAGACATATGTAGGTGCAGTACAGTTATCAAGCTAGCATACAGACCGCACTTCCAATACTTCAGCCTTTATTTGAAATCGACAGCAAATCCATTGTGACAGTATATAAACAAACACCAGCACCACAAACCCCCGACTGTCTAGAAACACTTACGCGTTTCACCCGTAGGTTTCAACTGAATAAGAAGCCTACGAGTGAAACGCAAAAGAGACTCGACAGTCTGGGTTTGCGGTGCTGGTGTTTGTTAGTTTATATACTGTCACAGTGGATTTCAAATAAAGCCTGAAGTATTGGGACTCTTTGGAAGTGTGGTCTGTTCATATTCTACTAGTACCCATTTGACCAGCACCTGGAGAGTCCAGACAGTGGCCGAGGAATGGGAGCGATGAGATTTTCTTTGCTCTACAGTTAAGCTGTCAAGAAAATCTTGGCCTGTCACTGGGTATAACTTAAAGGCAATGTCCACTTTAAGAAAATAAATGCACACGTCTTCATAAAAGTAAATGAGTGTTTTTTTGCACTGGGGCCAGTAAAGCATTGCGATCACGATCAGAAGATTGGGGATAAAATGCTCAGGCTCCTGTAGACTCTTCCTCCCATCCATGTCTGTACATCAGTATCGGTGTTCAGCAACATGGACAGAAGGAAGAATAAATAGGACTACAAGTGTGGTGGCGTTACTGCACTTGTATTGAGAACTCTCGGCTGCGGTGGCTTTTGGGACCAGCAGTTCCTCCATGTATAGATCTTATCAAAGGGCTCTAAACTCAAAAGTATATAGCAGCCTGTGGGAAGAAGAACCCTGCAATTTAGGTCTGGGGGGAGGGTGGTCTGCAATCTGGCCATGTTCAATGTTGTACTCTGAATAGGAATGTACACAATACCACACATTTGTACAATATTTCCCTTGTTTTTTCCTCGAAGATAAACATATTCCCTCTTCTATAAAGGCCAATGTCACACACAAGACTCTGATTTATGTATGTGATTAGACAATCTGACCTATATATCTAAAAGCAGGCCTATGCTTGGCACTCCAGGAGCACGACAATACTGAACATGGAAAGTTAGGGAAATTATAGAAAAAATAATTATGGAATTTTCGGTTTCCCCTCTACCAGGTTATAATAAAGATTTATAATGGTACCCACAAGAACAACTCCCATTGTTTGAATGCTACACTAATGGTCCAACTCCAGAAATTCTAAATAAAGCCGAAACTGGAGGATTCGGATTGCTTTTTTTTCGGCCAATCACAAGCGATTTAGTGAACAGGAAGTGATAGTGTGTAAAGAGAATCAGAGACGGCTCCGGGGAAGAGAAAAAAAGATTTCCTGTACCAGTGAAGCTGTGATTCATCGACTGTCATTCTGCTGACAAAGATCCCGTTTACTCCAATTTTTTTTTATCTATATATAGAATGGGAAAGGGATAGAACAGGAGGTATGAATCCCTCCCAAATCTTCAGGTAATAGTGCTTTTATTGCCGTCTGTACCACGGAGGACAGAGCCGCTATCACAGCAGCACGCTGAGCGGTGAGGAGAGAGAAAGCCGTTCAGCCTGGATCTGACAGCCGGCGGCTCTCTATCTCCTCACCGCACATACAGTGATTCAGAGGAGAAGCTGAACCCCCCTGTGTGCGTGGCCGAGGATCATATCAGTGATATGTACCAAACCTCTGTCCAGGACAAACACTGGAGCGATCAGCTGATCACTCCAGTGTTTGTAAATAACTGGGGACACATAGGGCTATGTGCCCCAGTTATAAATGACCAGGAAGTGCTTTACATCACTTCCTGTTCGTTCATGAGTTTCTCAATGGGGAGCAGCACTCTGTACAGAGGCTCCTCCCCATTCAGAAACTGGATAATAGTAAATAGTTTCTGAATAAATGGGAAGCCTCTGTGCTTTCCATTAATTTAGTAAAAACAGAGGATGCAGAAAAAGAGATTGATGACTTTGTGTCCTCAATTTCTTTTTCTATTTTAAAAAGGTAAATATCAGGGGGCTGTTTAGTCCCCTAATATTTCCCCGAAGTCTGGAGAGGATCTGGATGTGGTGTGCATGGGCCCTGAAACCATTGAACCCACATGACAGACAACTAGCATTTTCTGAAGGTGATTGCCAATGGCAGCTCCCATAATCCTCGGATACAGGATTCCTTTCTGAATGAATGGCTATACTTCAGGTATGTTAACATTTCTGCCACAAGACAAAACAGCAAAAAGAAAAGTGTGTTGTGAAATTGTTATTTTGCCTGTTAAATGATGTATGGCCACAGAGGTACCTGATCTGCTGCAGTATAATAGGATCCAGGTTACCTTCCCCTCTGCTGAAACCTTAATCCTCTCATTGTTCATTTCATGAAAAATATACCTCATCTGCCCAGCCTGGTGTCCCAGTTAGACGTGACACACAGAAAAGCTTGCGCCTGTTTGAGAACACTGTTCTAATATTGAAGGACAAATTAATGTCCTTTGTATAAAAAAAAAAAAAGCTCAATTATAACCTGCAGAGTATTGCTCAGTAATGGCTCACATAGGAGGGCTATTTATAGAACCAATTAAATGAATACAAATCTAAAAGGCCCGTTCACACCATAGCTTGCGTGTGCAGCAGGGCTTGTTGCACTAAGCAGCCCATTTATTTTGAATGCACGTCAAGGCATGAAAATAATAGGCCCTGCCGACACCACCGTACCAACTCCCCTGGCCCCCGCTGCACATCCCTGTGCTATGCCCATGTCATTCGATGTACGAGCCTTGCAACATTTAATCAGCCTAATGCTCTCAAATGGCGAGCGATCATTGGTCAGAATGGTCAAAACCCTTCTTACTTCTGAGAACTGGTCCCCAGCTCCAAAGTACCTCTTGTGGTCATGTGATCGTGCTGACCAATGAATAAGTGCACAGACTGTTCACCACCCGGCTGGAGGGGCATCACACAGGTTTGTGCAGGAGGGGGGGCCAGGAAAGGTGGTGGGGTGTTAGTAATTAGGACTGGAACCAACTAATCAATTGATCTATATTGATAAAAGTTGTCCACTATTCTCATTATGGATTAGTTGGTTGGATCCCCTCTCTCCTCCATGCTGGGAGGAGGGCACAGCAAGCTGTGGGTGGTTGCAACAGCCAGCCTGCTATTGCAATTTGAAATGGCCAATAACAGGCTGGCTATTGTGCCAGCCCACTACCTGCAGTATTTAAATTCAGCTGCCGTCTGCGGAATCTTGCCACTGGCAGCTGTCATTCCCTGCCTGAAGCTATTCCAGAGCCATGTGCTTACACTACAAAAGAAGAAAAAAAAGATTATATATATATAAGTGTATGTGTGTGTACATACATACATACATGTGAAACTCGATTAGAATATCGTGCAAAAGTTAATTTCACTAATGCAACTTAAAAACTAATATATGAGATAGACTCATTACATGGCAAAGCAAGATAGTTCAAGCCGTGATTTGTCATAATTGTGATGATTATGGCTTACAGCTCATGAAAACCCCAAATCCACAATCTCAGAAAATTAGAATATTGTGAGAAGGTGCAATATTCTAGGCTCAAAGTGTCCCACTCTAATCAGCTAATTAAGCCATAACACCTGCAGTGGGTTCCTGAGCCTTTAAAATGGTCTCTTTAGTCTGGTTCAGTAGGAATCACAAATCATGGGAAAGACTGCTGACCTGACAGTTGTGCAGAAAACCATCATTGACACCCTCCATAAGGAGGGAAAGCCTCACAATGGTAATTGCAAAAGAAGTTGGATGTTCCCAAAGTGCTGTATCAAAGCACATTAATAGAAGGTTATGTGGAAGGGAAAAGTGTGGAAGAAAAAGGTGCACAAGCAGCCGGGATGACCGCAGCCTGGAGAGGATTGTCAGGAAAAG